TGCCCAACAATTAAATCCCCTTTCTACCTGTCATATGATAGCCATAACATTCTTTACTAAAACAGAGGAATCACCACCTATACATTTTAAACCAATACCGAATTATTTCTTTGTTCACATGTGTTCTAATTAAATGTCTTCCCAACTCCCCCCTCACAGCAGAGTTTGTGGCCTTTGGGTGTACCCCTAAAACAAATTTACAAAATTTATGATGAACTGTTTCTATATCGTAAGATTTATGTGTTACCCATATTACACTGCCATGAAGCAGGATTGGGAGAATTTAGCAGTCAAAAACACGAAACGCAATAGCTGGTTTGAACCCATCATATTTATAAAGAATACTTTTAATACTGTGCATGGCTTTCGTTGCTTGTTCAGCAATGTGTTTTTGGGCCTGATACCAGATACCTGAACTAGAAAAAAGAACCCCCAAATAGTTATATTTTGAGACTATTTCAATTTCATTCCCGTTCCAAAACCACTTTTCAGATTTCTTTAGTCTACCCGATTTGCGAAAAACAACAATTTTTGATTTATTCAAATTTACTGTTAACCTCCATCTTTTACAGTAATTTGCTAATCTATTTAGAAAACGCTGTAGACCAATGGGATATTTACTAAATAATGCGAGGTCATCAGCATATAATAAATACATTAATTTTAAAGTATTTACATAGATTACAGTTTCAACACCTTGTGTAAGAGCTTTTTCTATATCATTTATTATATAAAAACAAAAAAGTAATGGGGAAATAACTGAGCCTTGTTGCCAGATTCTGATTAAACAAGTGTGTTCTGTTGATCCTGCAGTGTCTAACTACTACAGGTGGCATGGTCATCTATTGCATGTGACTGCATAAGGTGTTTTTTCTGAGATTAAAAAAAATGACCGACCAATAGCTATTTGTTTTTTTCATGATATCCAAGCTCCAAGCAGTTTCTCTGTTTATACATATGATCAGTACATTTTCAGTCTATGTACTTCCTGTCATTCTTCATTGAAATTTACATGAGGCATGGAGCCCTTTGGTAGACTTGTACTGAAATTTGAAATTGACTACCAGTAATACTAAACTAGAATACATGTATGTGCATTCTTTATGGTGTTTCAAAGCAAATAATTTTGTCATAAATATTTATCAAAAAAAATAAAAATAATAAAGATTCATGGGACCAAAGACTATTCTCTATAGTCTTTGATGGAACACTATTGTTTATGTTGTTTACAATGTTAATCTATCTTTTGTTATCCATTGTTGTTTTAATCCAGAAAGTAAATTTGTTGTGAGATTAGGCTTAACTGGAAGGTGCCCCTTCAAGAAGTGAAAATATTAGCCTTAAAACAAACTTACCAGCTGCCTAAATTTATCCCTTCAATTATTCTTTTTTTTATGCTCAAACTTTATTGTATTTTTATCTAGATCCCAAATAAGGATATGATTTCAATCAAGTATTTATTATTATTACTGTACAAAGTTATTAGCACAAATTTATAATGATTACGTGAAAATTGAACCATGGAACTACAAACCATTGATTGGATAACATTTTATTTTGTTTTGAGAAGAAAAAGTAAAAGTTTTTTGTAAATAAACTTTAGTCATTCAATATTATGTATCAGTAATGGAGAATAAACTACTTTTTGTTGTCCTTTTATAAATGTATTTACCTTTGCAACATTTAACAGACAGCCAGTTTGAAACCTGAATTTGAATGACCACATCATATAATTCTGCCGAAGACATTTAATGAAGGCCTTTTAAGTAACCATTTTACACTCTGACCCAAGGTACATGTTGTAAATGTATATAATTTGGATGGGCTGACAACCATGGAGAGTAAATGCTTAGTGTAAAAGGTCAAAGGTTGAATCCTGAATACCCCTGAAACTGAATATGGTACATTGATATGCTAATACTTTGTTGTTGTACTTTTACACTGATATGGACGGTGACCTCAGTCAGTTATTGAAAGTTTTAAACAGGAAATATTTGACAGATTTGAATTTGGATTCTTTCTTCTGTGTTGAATTTGTGGTGCATACTTGTCCTGCTTGACGCCCAAGTTGGCTACGACAGGTTCTTGTCATTATATAGTAGTGAAATTACGGAGGCTTGACTGTCATCAAATTGGTATGCATATGTAGAGGAAGTATGCAATAAGGAAGTAGGAATTGGTTTGAAAGGTACGTCTTGTTATTGTAAAGCAATTCACAGGAAGAACTACAATACTGTATTGTATTATATATAATATTCTTATTATGAATTATTTATTCCTGACATGTTTAACATGGGTTATCATGTAGTGTTATGTAATCATATACTAATGGTATGTCTGTAGTGCATGTATATTCACAATTTATCTACGTGTACTTAGGTCATATAATTTTTTGTACAGATTCTAATTGTACCAGTATCATAAAACCACCCTAAATTTAACTGAATACCACATTGAACTAAATAATCCTAATGTATTGTCCGTTTAGATGTACTGAACAATAGTTAAGACTAGAAATAGATTCGCTTTCTATGCAACCTTCACTCTCCTATTTAAACTATGACTGAAATATAATATAAGAATAAAACTATTTTTTAATGCACTTGTAATCTTTTTATGAACGTAGACATGGTTTGTGAATATTGACACAGTTTCCTTATATAGTTCCTAAATATTTGAAGTTGTATGCATCTATCGTTGATAAGTGTGCTATGTAATTTTAGATATTGATGTGTACAGAGAGATATAAAATCAAATCACACAGTGTTTGTTAGAAATTGGAGTGATTCAGGTGAGCAAGGGAATATTTTCTTGTTAAAGTTGTGAGACTTACAAAATGTTATCATTAAAAGTCCGCAAAAATTTGTCAATGTAGATACAATCTAGTCTCAAGGAACCACAATGTTGTAATAGTTGTCAACTTCCGTCCAAAAAAGAAATTTGTGAGAATAAAAGTGTTCCACTGTTCAATGACGTTATGACAAAGGGTAAAAATAAAACCAGGGTTCACACATTAATGTAGACTATAGTGACTGTGCTGCAACTAGGTCTCATAAATAGGCCAAGCTAAAAATAAACCGAAATGAATTATTGTAAATGAATCTTTTTGTTACTGAGTTGTGTTCTTGTCTCAAAGCATTTTTTTGTCATAAAACTTTGTGTGTTTTATTTGTTTTTATTTTATCTACTGAAAACATAAGTTAAAAAAAACACATACATGAAAAATTATGTTTAGCCACTTCTTAGATAATCAATTAGATATTAATTGCTAATTGGTAATCCCATTGTAGATTACTACAAGATAATCCCTATCTAATTCAGTGTAATAATAGTGCCTTGCAGATTACTACAATATAATCCCTATCTAATTCTGTGTAATAATCCATTTTAGATTACAAGATAATCCATATCTAATTCAGTGTAATAATACTGCAATAATCCATTGTAGATTACAAGATAATCCCTATCCAATTCAGTGTAATAATACTGCAATAATCCATTGTAGATTACTACAAGATAATCCCTATCTAATTCAGTGTAATAATAGTGCAATAATCCATTGCAGATTACTACAAGATAATCCCTATCTAATTCAGTGTAATAATACTGCAATAATCCATTGTAGATTACTACAAGATAATCCCTATCTAATTCAGTGTAATAATAGTGCATTGTAGATTACTACAAGATAATCCATATCTAATTCAGTGTAATAATAGTGCAATAATCCATTGCAGATTACTACAAGATAATCCCTATCTAATTCAGTGTAATAATAGTGCAATAATGCATTGTAGATTACTACAAGATAATCCCTATCTAATTCAGTGTAATAATACTGCAATAATCCATTGTAGATTACTACAAGATAATCCATATCTAATTCAGTGTAATAATAGTGCATTGTAGATTACTACAAGATAATCCATATCTAATTCAGTGTAATAATACTGCAATAATCCATTGTAGATTACTACAAGATAATCCCTATCTAATTCAGTGTAATAATAGTGCATTGTAGATTACTACAAGATAATCCCTATCTAATTCAGTGTAATAATAGTGCATTGTAGATTACTACAAGATAATCCATATCTAATTCAGTGTAATAATACTGCAATAATCCATTGTAGATTACTACAAGATAATCCATATCTAATTCAGTGTAATAATAGTGCAATAATGCATTGTAGATTACTACAAGATAATCCCTATCTAATTCAGTGTAATAATAGTGCAATAATGCATTGTAGATTACTACAAGATAATCTCTATCTAATTCAGTGTAATAATACTGCAATAATCCATTGTAGATTACTACAAGATAATCCCTATCTAGATCACCATAATAAAGGGAGTACTTTAAACTGTAAGCAGGTATGCCATAAATTATTCATTTACAGGTATCGTACTTGTCTAGTATACAAGTAGTGATAACATTGTAGTCAGACTACAACAACTTTGTTGCTGCATGGTTAAGTTTCCATACACCTGCCGTCATGAGTTGGTTATTTTGTTGTTGTGGAACACAACAGTCCTGGACTGTCAGTAATGAGGACCTTGTGTAAGTTTAATATACATGTATAATGTGTCCATACACCCTGCCTACTTCTATACATACTTCTTCGCTGATCGCTTTTAACTACCATGAAACAAAATAGAATTAATTTAACACTAATTTTGCTACTCATAAATTTTTTTTTTTTTTTGTAGGAATCTAAAAGTTCTCTTTACATTGCTTCTAAAAGTCAGCAATGTTTTCTTTGTTATGGTTAGGTATGTTGTGTTGGACTGTTTTAGACACAGTGGATAAGGCATAGCAACTGTTATAAATTTTGGCATGTAACTTCCGTGTTATTTCAAATTCCGTCATTTTGATTTCAATCTGTGTGTGTTTTAGTCATGTTTTTATTCCAAATTTCAGTTTAGTGTAGCAATGCTGATAACATAGAAACAAGTAGTCTGTGTATCAAACTATTTTGCATTTTTTTTATTTTTAAATTATTAATTATTTAGATTATTGAACTTTATTAATTATAAGACAGAAATATAATATAGCCTTGCCAATGAACTTCATCATTATAATTTTATTGACTCCCGTGTGCGAAGCACAAAAAAGAAGTCTT